ACCATTCTGTGATTCTGTGATGACTGCTAAATGCCTGCATGATATTTTCTTTAACTTACTGGCTTCTGTTACTTTACTTTGTATTAGTTACAACGTGTTAGCTAACCTGGATGACTCTTTTTTTCCTTCTAAAGGCAAAGCCTTAAAACAAGTTTTACAATCTATGGAATTGGGGATAACTCGAGGTTTCTTTGGTTAGGAGGTAGGGCTAAGTTTGTGAACTGCTTTATATATAAAATATCTAGGACAGGAATTGTATCTTCTGTATCTCTGTGAGCCTTCATACATCTTGGGCAGTGACAAAGTATAAATAGCAGCCATGGAAAATCAGCTTGTGGTATTCTTAGGATCATCTTTTATATATTAGCTTTATTATATGTAGTCCTGAAAGTCTCTAAAACTGGCAAGCAAAACCAGAAAAGAGGGCATTGCACCTAGCCTGATGAGTGGTCATGATCCATTTCTTAGAGAAATCAGTGAAAATCTTACAGGGAATATGAAGCAGGATAGGCCCTGTTTTACTGGAAAAGATAGATACAGAAGAAAGAGACAGTATATACATTGTCTTTGAAGCTGTTAATGTACAAATAAGAATCCTAACTTTGTCCTCTTCCTCATTTGTATTACCCTAAGATATGAAAGGAGTCACTCTCTAGGGCTCATATGCCAGCAGGGTAATCAGAGGCTTGTACCGTTCCTAATTGTTTTCCTGGAGAGGATGCTTTCTGTAACTGTTTGTTTTCCCTGTGTAATTGGGAAAAGTGTAGCAAAATAAAAATAAAAGTATTTAACAGGTTTAGTAAAGCACATTACTAAAGATTTGATGAGGTTTTATTGGATCATCACTGAACAAGCTAAAGAGAAAAGGTACTTAAACAGTATAGCTACATCACTTCCTTAATTAAATACTGTCTCAGCAAAAGGACCCAGAAACCCATTCTCTTTCTGTTTAGGGAATTTATAGAGATACATGCCATTAACTCTGCTAGTAATTGCACATCTGAATTGCTGGGGTTTGTTTATGGAAGATGGAGTATTAAGAATTCACAACACTCAATCACTTGTTTTCAGATGTGTGTCCCTTGAGCCTCAGTATGAAAAGGTGCAGAGTTCCCTCACCTCGATCAACATCACATCCAGTAATAACCATAATGAGCCTTTGCATTTTAACTGCGCACTGTGTGATCAAAGTGTTACACAGGATTGATTGGATGGAAAAAAAGAAAGTCAGCAAATTTCAGCCCACTGATTCCTCAACTTCTGGATTATTATCAAAAGCCTGGAAGGATAAAGCATATGGGATTTTAAACCTCTAAGAAGTGAATGATGAACAAAAAGCTTGGGGACCATTTTCTTAGACAAATTTGGTATCTAAGATTGGCCTTGATAATTCACCTGGTGAGAAATCACATTCCTGTTTCTTTCTGCAGTGCACACGTACAAGATAAGCGTGTTCACTGGAGATATCTATGGTGCTGGGACAGATGCTAACGTCTTCCTAAATATCTATGGAGATTTGGGGGACACAGGAGAAAGAAAACTCAGCAAATCTGAAACCAACTTCAACAAGTTTGAAAGAGGACAGGTACAAATGCAATGGGTTAATACCACTTTCTGTTTCTCAGTCTTTAACCTACTAAATCCATGACTGTCTTTTTAGTCTGAGTTTTCCTATGAGGAATGAGTTGATTGATTCCATTTACCATGTTCATTACCTCTTAAAATGCTTTTTAGGGAATGTCAGCTGGGTATTACAGCTGACAGGCACGACAGCAAATGGATACGTATTTCTGTGAAGTCACTGATGGGCAAATTATGAGCTTGGTCCATTTAAACTCTCTTGAATTGTTAGCTGCAGATTTGAGAGCACACAGGCATGAGGCCTCTCATTCCTGTAGCCTCTGCTCAACTGATTTGCACGTACATAGTGTATATTGTATTCACTGCAGAGCACAATAAACTGATGGGACTTAAACTGCAGCTATGTTTGACAAAACGACTCCAAAAGTGGTACCTGGTGGTCAGTCCGTGAGTTATTTTCACAGCCTCAGATGGAGAGACTAAAATATAATGATGGCAAAGATTGTATAATCTGGATTGTTTATACCAATCTAACTGGATTAGAAAGGGAAGTCTTAACTACACTTAAAAAACAGGATGTAAAATTCCAGGAATTCTATATTGTAATTGGTAATAAAAGTGAAATTTTGTGCAGCTTCCCTCAGCAGAAGCAGGCTTCAAAACACTTCCCTGCAGAATGGCTTTAGCGTACAGAGATGCTTCTATAGTGTGCTGCAAAGCTTTTAACCAAACACAGTCATGTGAGATGGAATTTGAACGCATATTGTGCTCTGCAGTCTCCGTTTGCTTTTGTCCAGTAGGCAACCTGTTGAGAGCTTATTAACAGAAGCAACTGCTCTTGAACACTCTGCAGGAGGATACCTTTACTATACAGGCTGTGGACCTTGGTATTTTGTACAAGATCAAGATTCGTCACGACAATAGCATGTTCAGTCCTGACTGGTTCTTGGAAAAAGTAGAGATCCTGGATGAGACCACAGAGGAGTCGTTCATTTTCCTGTGTGAGCGCTGGCTCTCCAAAAAGAAAGAGGACAAAAAGATAGAGCGTACGCTTTATGAGCAGGTACGGTATGGCTGAAAGATGTGATCCCAATCCTAATGACTGAATATCTAGTTGAAGTCCAAGACAGGTCATTAGGGACTTAGGCTTTTTGACTTGTCCAAAATGAGTTTGTGATTTTCAGACAAGTGCTGGCCATATGGTCATTGTCCACCCAGTATCACTAGCTCTGTAATCTGCAATTTCAACAGGAACATCTAGGAGTCTAGGTGAAACTTTTCAGCTGAGAGCCAAAGCACCTAGCTGATGCACAGTAGAGTATATAGAGGAACGTGTCCCTGCCCATGGCAGGGGGGTTGGAACTGGATGATCTTTAAGGTCCCTTCCAACCCAAACCATTCCATGATTCTATGAAATTTCCCTGTTGCTCTCCATGGGGTGCCCACAAAGTAGGTCAGTTATAGGTCTCATTATTCAAAGTCCTCAAGCCAAAATATTCAGTCCTTTGACTTCATTCTCACTGGACTGGATTGGTTTATCTTTTCAGCAACTTCTTCCATCAGTTCCAAACACACAAATCCAGTTTCTTTGCTACTGCACAAAGCACCAAATGGTTTTTTTAGAGAAATGCCATTTCTACTTGCACATTCTCAGTTGCTTTATTGGACTAATATAGCTAATTGAGATTCGAGGAACATACACTAATTAAAATTAGCAAATGAGATTAATAGACCTCTCTTGCTTCTATACAGTGAGGCATAATAAAACAGCTGATTATAAGTCTATTGCATTTAAGGAGTCCACTTTGCAAAATACAGTGACATTTTAATTGACAGTTACCACTAAAATTATCATCAATGAAATTGGGCTAGATTCATCCTGAATACAACAGAACGGAAGTAAGAAGAGTTACACCATGGATGAGTATTGCCATATGCTCCCTTCTAAAATTGCAGCAGACAGTGCTACGAATTCTTGTGGTCACGCTTACCCTGTTGCTCATATTAAATCATAATGAGGAAAAGCTAATCACTGGGGTTTTTTTAATTACCTGTCAGTGTGGTAAGAGCCTCACATTTATTGGACAACGACACTGAATGCTTCTGCACTGACTCTCCAAATACAATAGATGTTTCATATCGTTTAGCTTTGCAGTACCCTCCTCTTATGCTCTTTGACCTGTACCAGGTCAATTAGTCTGACACCACAGTGTGTGCCCTGATAAGAAAATCTGGCACCATCCCATCCATCTGAATTTGCTGCAGCTATTGCTCACACACGTAGCAGAGAAAAGTCACAACACACCATTAACCTGCTAGGTTCGTTATATTTTCTTTTATTATTACACGCATCCGAAATGGCCTGTCAAGGTTATGAATGGAGTAAATAAATGACCTGCAGTAAATTACAAGTCACATTTATTTGAGCCACACTGAGCAAAAAGCTACCTGGGGAGCTACAGGTTGTTCTTGGAGGCATGTGGGAACACTGACAGCACTTGAGCACTCAACCACATTACCCTCCCGTACATGCCTTCCAAAACTAGAGCTATGATGGCGAGCGAAACAGCCTGGACGACTCGTCTCTCAGCCTGTCGAGTCAGGACAGCAATGCAAACCTGAAGGAGAGGAAAAAATCCAGCTTGGTCAAGGCAGCGGAAGAAGGGTCACGTGAGCGAGCCCCGTGTTTGATTGCATGCATGCATGTGTCCTTGGCTTGCAGTGCTTGAGAGGTCGCGTTTGTCCTGGTGAAGAGCAAGGAGAGGCAAACCAGCAAATTGTTTCCCTTCACCTTCCTTGGGGAAAGGCTGGATCAGTGCTTGCGCTTCTGTGTTTGTCACTTTTCCTATAGCTCTCCAACGCTAAAAGTATGGAATAAGCCATGAAGTTCACAGCAACTTCAGTTTTTGTTTCCAACCCTCTTCTTCCTCTCCTGTGGAAATCTGTGATGCTGTAGCTGGTCAGAATTTACTTCTCTATTGCTGGCAGACATAAGTTCTCCAAACAGTGGTGTTTTGGACAGTGTGACAATATCATTATGTAGGTGGTTATTCAGGGGTAGGTTGTTTTCTGTTACGGTGAGGTAAAAGGCACCGGGTACCTCTATGGGTAACTACAATCCCAACTCTTATAACTTAGATGCCTAAAGTTAGGTGAGTGCATCCACCCCAGCAAATGTGGGTAAGGAGCTAGGCAACAACACCCATAGGGTCTCCTCAGCAAGGAAACTACTGACCTGAAGAATCATGCTGCCTCTTCCTCCTCCTCCACCACCAACTTCATTGCAGACAGCTTATCAGAGGTGGGGACAAGTGACACCACACTCTCAGCAGGAGGGGCTGATAGAGTTCAGGGAAGAATTTATGCAAGTTTTCTATAATTTTGTCTGAAGTGTCCTTCAAAGTATCCAAAGCTCTTTGCAGTGAGAGGGACTGTAGTCAGATGGGGTGTCGCCAAAAGACCCTCCCTTGGATTATCAGAGGCTCTTTTCCATGTGATTCCTTAAAGCAACTCTTGTTGCTGATACCAGCTTTTTTTTTTCTCCTCCTGTATTTCTCTGACCTACTCAAGATGATGCTTCATGGAACATATTAGATCTGAGTTTCCAAAGAAGACTTTGAATTTCCTGAGACCTTATTTTCTACACTTAAGCCGTCTCACCTTTTCAGGATCAGACTAGTAGTGCCTCAGCAATGTTTAATATGAATTTAAATGTGATTAATTTTAGAAGCCTTCAGTTTTTTTCCTTTACAAGATGTAGCTGCATCACAGGAGCTGTTGGGTTGGGAGGGGGATACAGGGAGCTGAGGAAGAGCACAGTTAAGTCAGCTTTCAGAAAACAAGCTTTGACTGGGAGAACTCAGGTGAGTGTGTTCTTTTCTATAATGTGGATTGTCTTATACCTGGGCAGAAGAGGATGATCTGCAAATGCTGCCACTGAAAGATAAGGAGTCCATGAACTCTGGACTGAGGTTTTTGTTCAAATAAGTGATGGAAATGGTTCATGGTTCTACTGGAGAGTTTAATCTTTAGGCTCAGGTTCCTGAGACAAAGCAAAGCTGAACATGAAAGAAAAATCTGTTTCTGGATTGCAGCATCTAAGAAGTGAAATATTCTGTCCTGTGTCTACAAAGGTCAGCTTCCATGTAGGGAGGCTAGTCTAGCTCGGCTGTGTGCAATATCAAGTGGGAAAGTTGTGCAGGTTTTTTTCTGTCCTGGCTGTGAACAAAGCCTGGAAGATCAGTGTCCATTAGCTGAGGTTAACCGTTGTGGAAAACTTCCCTAGTCCATCAATATTTCCTTATAACTTCAATACCACACAGCCTTTTTTTCTCTGTATTTATGTACCATTGGTTTAACCACCTCTGTGTTCCAGGAAAATGACTTATCATCTAAATTGGTTCACTGTCATCCTACATGGGGTCTTTTAGCTTTAGGTTAAGATTTTAGATATATGGTTAAGACAGTGTGTTGTACCAAGTAACTGGGCAGCAGCTATCAGTTACTGTCTGTATATGTGCTCTTAGTCCAGAGCAAGTGCAAAATAATTAAACTTACCTTAAAATTCCATGGTAAGCCAAGTGTAAAATGATGTAATTTGGCTTAGGAGTTTAAGATAGCTTTCCCTGACATGGTCCAAGGGAACTCACGCTAATGGTTACTGCAGCTCAGCTGGTGCACAGTAGCTTGTCATGATGCGATACCTGGGCTGCATGTCCTACACATTCAGGTTCTGAAGCAGACATAATGCTGCACATTGTTTAACCTGATCTGCAACCCATGTGTCTTGGGGAAATGCTTCTTTTGTAATCCCATATTGTGTTCAAATAAAAAATAAATTATTCCCATGTTACTGCTGATATTCATTCTGCGGTGAGAAAATGGATAACATCTGCCACATTGGCATTCCTTGTAGTTTCACAAATAATGAGTAAAACATCAGCATCTCCCATGAGAATTCATCTCCAGCAGAACTGGGATAGTCCCCATCATCCCCATTGTGCCAGGGTGGTCTTCCTTCTCTGAGTCCTGGAGTTTGTCATCACCACTATCTCTGTCACAGTGGCATGGCCTCATTAAACAAATTGCATCTTGAAGGAACGTCAGATAAGATGGGCTGTGCAAGCCAGACAGCCACCTCCTGAGCTGGATAAAAAGCCAGCTGTTAATAAGTTGATTAGGGGAAGTGGTATTGGGAGGTGCCTGGGAAAGGAAGTGACAGACTGAGCAGCCCAGTTCTGGCTCTTCCATGCTCAGACCGTAAACATCTCTGAGGGGCAGGAGGTGATGTGAGGATGGAGCACAGAAAAAAGTCCTGTTGTCTAGGAACCTGCTTGGGTCTGAAGTGGGAGCTCCACTCCATGCAAGAGATGGCCTGGGTGGTCTACATCCCAAGAAAACCCAACCCACTCTGAGTGGGAACACGTGCCCTGAACTCTGTGCCAGAGATTTAGGGAAACAAGGGGCAAAGGGAAATGGGCTGGAGGACCTGTGGTGTCCTGCTGTGGCCACGTACATCAGGTTTTGCATCCTGCCTTGCTTGAAGAAGTAGAGCTATGGAGTCCCAAAGAAAGAGGGAGACAATGGAGAGGGAAGATAAAAAAAAGGGTCACTTTTCTAGTTCTTAGATAAAAGAACAGCAAACAGTGTTTCCTGCTGCCTGGTATTGAGTTACTCTATGTCTCTGTATCCATTATTTAAAGTGGGAAAAGTTAACAATTTCTCATAGTTCTCATTTTTATATAGGTGCTTCAATTACTTTGGCTTGAGGATACAACAGTAGGAAATGTTGAAAGTTCTGTGAACTCAGTCTGTCACAGGAGAACAGGGTAAAATCTGTATAAAAGAAAATATTATTCCTATTTAAAATATACTTTATTTAAAAGAAGATTCTGGAGCTGTTCTAAACATGACCCCTCAACACATTCTTGTAAAATCTGTCCTGCCTACAGCTAAACCCTTTCTCCTGCTAATACCAGCAGCTCCAATGGTTATCTTGTGAAGAATGCATTGCATGTCATTATGCTGATGTACACACTGAAATGTAAATGACACCATAAAGGGAGACTAAGCCTTGCCTAATCACCAGTTCATTTTGTGTTGGTACAAAAAATCCTCAAACTGGGGCTGAATGAATCTCTTTGGGTTCTCCTGTGGACAGAGGTAAGAAAAGATCTGGTCAGCATGAATGCATGCCTTTCCTGATATTGCACACATATACTTAGCTTGATGTGAATTTCTAGTACAACCACTACCCAAATAATGTTGTTAGTCATCATAAAGCAAAATTAAATGTCAATCCTGGATGATTTGAAAGTCAAGCATTTTTTTTTTTTCCCCAAGGTTTATAAACCTTTTTTTCTTTTTTTAATCAAAAAAGCAACCATGAAGACATGCTGAGTTTCGAGTCTGTGACGAGGCAAGCTTCAGAGCTCTGAGTCTTGTCAGAATGGTTTGAACAGCCCTGCACAAATGTTCTGAGAAATCAAACGAGTATTCAGTGTCTAATTCTGCACCTCCCGCTTGGCTTACCCAAATGAGCTTTGGGAGAGCACTTGAAAGTAGTCTGGCACTTCCTCCCTTTTAACAGCTGAACTGAAATTTCTGAAAACCACAGAAAAATCTGCAAAGTCCCAAGCCTTGGCTTGAAGGTTTTTCCTGTAACAATATTATTATGCAATGTATGACATTTTTGAGTGTCCTACCTCTAATACAAGTATTCTTCATAGTTTGCCTGGATTTGCAAAGGGATGCTGAAACCCTGAGCTGCCCCATAGATCACAGAGATCCTTGAATGAAGCACAAAGGGAATGTTTGCAGTTGTACTGGGATATTCAGTTAGTGATGGTTTACCTTGGAGTCAGCATAGATTTATTTGCCTTTATAGAAATGTGAGTGTAAGATCGCTTTGGTCTAATAGCCTATTTAAGATTTAGGTGCCCAGTCTCATCTGCAGGAAGGTCGCTTGGTGTAAATAAGGATTCGATGCCTTTGCTGTTCTGCCATCTATTAGGGAGAAATCTGGACTTAAAACCTCCTTGCAGACAGTAGGGTTGTCCGGGGAAATTAACCCTCATAGAATTCATTCCCAAGTGCATATGGGAAAGTAGTCTCTCACGCACACTTGTAGGCCAATGCAGCATGAGGTTATCCCTTCTCTGAAGGAGTTCAATGGAATGTGAAGCTATTTAGCATATGCAACTGCTCCCTCTGATGGGATGTGTCCCTGGTTTTCTTAAGTCTCACGTAAATGTGTATGCGTGTGGGTTTTCTGATGATTAAACCTCTGTTGCAGTGGTCCCATACCACATCACCGTCACAACGGGCACAGAATATGACTCCAGCACCGACAGCCGCGTGTACATCATCATCATGGGTCCTCAGAAAGTGCAGACGGAGAGGCTGTGGCTGGATCTCCCAGAAGGAAAAGACGAGTTTGCAGATGGCTCCGTAGAGAAATTCTCTGTTTGGGGCCTAGATGTTGGAGAGATCAAAAAAGTGGAGGTACCTTGTGAATGCAGCCCAAGCGCTGGAGGCATATGAGATGCATGGCCAAAGAGGGCACATGTTCCTGTTATTATTAGCACTTGTGTCTGAAAGGAATGTAAACAAAGATGTGCTAATGAGATTTCACATGTCTGAACCTGAAAATAAGTATGCTTTACGTCTCACAAAATCAAGATCCTTGGGAGGCAGAAGATGATTTTGAATTATAAGAAAGTTTTAACATGTTCAAATGTTGTCCCCTCTCTGACACTGTTTTTTCTTAGTCAAAGCCTGTTATTCACAAATGCAGTGAAGGTTCCTAGGATGCAGTCCTCTATCAGTCTTTTTCCTAATTGATTTTTAGACTACTTCCAGTTGGGTTTCATAAATTGTGCCTGGAGTGAGAAACACATCTTGTGTAATTTTCTAGCTAAACATGGAAATTGTTTTTACAGCTTGGAGGACCCAGGCATAGAGAAGGAAATTAATCATCGTTCATAAGTAACGTACACAAATACATTTCAGTACAGGAGCCATTTTTTCTGCTATGGCTCAGGGAGACAGAATTTGCATAGACTTTCCATTATGGAGCTTAAACTTCACATGAATCTTCCAGTGTGTTTGTGTACATCATTCCTGTTTCATATGGCAGTTCTATCTCCCAAAAGCCTACTCCAGCCCACGAGAGCTGAAACCCACCACATCCAAGGACTTCAAGAGTCTATTTAATTTTATTTTTACCCCATGCCTTGTGTTGCAGTAAACCTACTTGTAAACCTACACATGCCTGTGTATTCAGAAAGAGTGAAAGGAATATAAAGTGAGAAATCCTAACTAATTAAAAAATCTCTGCAGTTGTATGTCCTGTTGTAGCAGCTGATAGACTGAAGCATTCCCATTAGCTTTTATTCAGGCAATGGATTCTGGCACCTTGAGAAATAACCATACTATATTTTAGTTTATTATCAAGCCATTTTCTTAATGCACTCCAAGAGCCTGTGTTTTATGAGTTTTAGTGTCACTTTTTATCTAGCCATCTTTAGGTCAAACTTTGAAAGTGAAGCAAGTACATAAATCCTTCTCTTCCAGACTGTGTGCATATGGGAATAGCCATGGACTGGGATAGAGAGGGAGGATAAAGCCAGTATAACCCCTCAGTGTCAGAGAGACAGAAAGAGATGGATGAAGAAAGAGATAGGAAGGGTTGCTGGAAAAAAGACAGTGAGTAGGGTGAGGAAGAGGCAGAGAATTGGTGAAAAGAGAGAAAACACTCGCAAATAGAAAGAATCAAGGAAAATAATTAAATTGAAAAGGATTACAAATGGGAAAGAATATTAAGGGTTGCAAATGGAATGCAGAGAGTTAAAAAAAGAAATAACATATAGTTTTCAATGTGGGTGATGTTCTTTTGCACCCTTTCATCCCTATCCTCAGTGATCTCACCAGGCGTCTACCTCAACTCTTGCTCGTTTGTCCCTTTCACTTTTAAAATGCCAGTTCGTGGCTGGAGGAGCCATCTGCTCCTGCTGGAAGGTCTCTTCTTGCTGATCCACATCCCAGCAGTGACATCAATGTGCCAGTCTGCTGTGGTTGCCATGGAATCAGTCCATATTTTCCTTGTAGAAAATTGCAGTGTTCAGGGACATTGCAGAAAATTGTTAGTTATCGACTTGGGAAAAGTGAGGAACAGTTCGTTCTCGGATTTGGCATTTGGCTGCTTCTGGAAGAAAGAAGTTCTGAATACGAGTTTCCGTGTGCAAATAACATAACATTGGGATCAAGTTTCCAGGAACCCTTTGTATAACCTAGGTAGCAGACTGCAGGATTTAGTAAGATTGTAAGATTTGCGGTGTGATGGCACTTTTAGTTTGGTATTATTCTCCTGCTGCACATGTACTCTAGTGAAAGCAGAAACAGTGGAACATGAAGTAATTTGAAAGGGGTTCATTTATGCCTGTCTCATAAGCCTACAGATGTAATATTTACTACTGGTGTACTTTAATTGACACCTTGCCATGAAAATAAATAATACAGGTTGTTTGGTATAGGCACTTTATACTGTGTTCTTCAAACAAGCTGTAATATTCCTTCTCCTAATGAAGGAAAGTGTCTCTGTTCCCAGACTGCTGCTTCTGTAGAGAGACACAGGTATGATCAGAAGAGTCCTGCGCTGATCTGCATTTCTAAACCACTTCTGGTTCAGAGCCTTTCCCCATCACCAGCACAAAGTGTGGTGGATGTGAAGTGTTCCAAGTCCAGTCCCTCACTGACTAGGGACTTGATCCTGAAAGTCCCTCAGGTGTCTCCTACATTCTCTGCACCTTCCAGAATAAGCAAGAAATCTTATTTTGGGGGAGGTATCTTTTCCTTCTATCTACCACTCAATTTTTTTCCCATTTTACCCCACTGTTGCATTCAATTTCAATGTGACTGTGAGCTGCTGGGTGCAAATTGTGCAGCTCAGTCTTGGTGAAGTACTCAACAGTCCCTCCATGGGAGGCAGGAGTGAGTTACAAAGGTTTTCAAAGAGCCCAAGGATCTAGCTGCCTTTGAAATTCTGCCATTCTAACTTAGTTCAAACACGTCAGCCCAAACAACTTGTGATATTGGTATATACATGCAGGTTATGCTGACGGTGTGGCCATGGCTTTGGATCCTTCACCGTTTTGGCATGGTCTATCTAAAGATTTGCTTGGGTTTGAAAGACAAATCCCTCTGCTCTGCTCTAGAAGACCAGCCATAAGGAAGACACAGCACTAGATGAGTTTATCCCAGAATTTAAAACATTGTTCTTGGAGTCCTTGGAAATGTGCTAGTGTGCAGGTTCTCCAAGGCAAGTGGATGTGCAGGATCCTTTCTTCTAGACAGTCACTGATACCAAAGGAGTGAAAGGTTGCTCTGGAAGTCTGGTACCTAGCAATGCCTTCGAATGATGCTTTAGGAGGTGGCTGTAACAAACCCAGAAGAGCACCAGACTTTAATGGGCTAGTCAGAATTCTCCCTCCAGCTGCTCTGTCCCTGCTTCAGCCATTACCCTGAGCTTTCGCCACAGCTTTATTTGCACTATCCTGCAACAGGTCTCAAAAGTATGTAGGCAGACTCTCAAAGGGGTTTTGGGTTTGGAGAAGGGCAGCCAAGCTGGCAGAGAGGGAATGGGAAGGAAAGTGTTATATTCCCATTCGCCTCACACGCCAGGAATCGGAGAATTAATGCATCCATTGTAGACTTGAATTTCCCTAGTGGTTAGCTGTAATTTTCTGCAGCTGCACAGACATTAGTATAGTAATAATACTCCTAATAGCAGTGATGGCTGAGACAGTCAGATAAAAAAGATCACTTGTTTTTGGGGGGAAAAACAGTCACCACAGATATATTACCCTAGATGAACCTGCTGTTAAAAATTACTTTTTGAGCAACCCTAAATATCCCAATAATCTAAAACCAAAACCAGCAAGAACTAAGGACCTCATTTTCCTAGTGACGACATAAACAACATTTGCTCTGAAAATAATGAACTGTAGGTAGCTCCCTCATTCAACCTTTTGTGTACAGATAGCTCATTGCATGACTGGCAGACTGAGTTTCATACATCAGCTGGGATACATAATTGTTCTTACAAATCTGCCCTGGGATGAATTACCCACAATCTTTAGGAGGACACATGCAGTTTCTTGGAGAAGTTTGCACCATCGGCATCCTTTTGCTGCTGATATACTTGTAGGAGCATTGCTTGTTGTCCTTCATGGCCCTTCCCAGACTCAGTTCCATGTAAGCTTTGGCATTCCTAACCTCATCCCTTCACATGTGGGCAGTATCTCGACATTTCTCCAGGTCCCTTGTCTCTGCTGTCAACACTTCTATTCTTCCTTTTTCTGTTTAAGTTTTGTCAGGAGACCCTTATTCATCCATTTAGTCTTCCTGCCAGTCTTGCATGACTTCCTGCTCTCCAGGACGGACCATTCTTGAGTTTGGAGGAGGTGGTCCTTGAAAATCAACCAACTACAGATGTCAACTCCATCTGTTGGCTCCTATACAAACATGGAGCTTTTGCAGTTCAAGGAGATTGGAAGCAGAGAAACAGCCTGATACATACAGTTGGCTACATGTGGCTTTGTGAGGGAAGGAGTGCTTGAATAATGCATGTGGGAGATTGCCTAGTTGTGGTTTCCATTTGGCTGTGAAGCTTTGGAGAGTCACTTCTCAGTGTTGCAACATCAGTGGAAGGGGCTGGAAAGATGGAGAAATGGGTGTGCAGAGTTCAGCAAACTGGTAGATAGAGGTCAAAGGAGCAGAAGAAGGACATATTTTCATGTAAGTCAGTCCAGTCTACCTTGCTTTCTTTTGGGACTGGCACTGCATCTTGTGCTCAGCAGCCAATGACCTGAACTTCCTTGCCCACATCAGCTGCCATGTACACTGATGTCTGGCCTGTTGGGCAGCATTGGCGCAAACTATTTCACCACTCGCTCCATTCCACTGTGGAAGGGGTTTGTGTGATGGTGTATGTAGTCTACACTCTTAGTCCATCACAGAATCACGGGATTACTAAGGTTGGAAAAGACTTATAAGATCACCCAGTCCAACCATCAACCCAACACTACCGTACCCACTAGACCATGTCCTCAAGTGTCATATCGTCATCACTGCTTAAAACACACAACCAGGTTCTCTGCTCTGAACAAATCCCTGTTAACCAGCAGGTCTTTTCTTGCTCTCTCTCACAGGTGGGGCACGATGGTGCTACCCCCGAGAGCTGCTGGCTGGTGGAAGAGCTCACCATCGTCGTGCCCACCAAAGGCGTCATGTATAATTTTGTCTGTAAGTGCTGGCTGGCCAGAGACAAAGGCGATGGACTGACCTCACGGATCCTCAACATCCTGGATGCTGACTGTGTTAATGTGGGCCTCAAGGTAGGCTCTAGGCTCATCCTTTATCTTTAGCTGTTGCATGGACCTGTGCTGATATAGGTGGTGTCAGCACTTTTCATACTTTGACTTCTGCATGTGGTTTGAGCCTTCTGTTTGCAGAGAGTTTCTTTGTTATTTCTTTAGCAAAATATTTAGGAAAGGTTCAGTTTTATCACCACTGAGAACACTGTTTAATAACGCTGGATGGATGCACCCATGACATAGGCAGATAGACAGGGTAGAGCAGAGGAGGTAGGAGACAGCTCAGCAGCGTGTCCTCATTTTGTCCCCATACCCGGAGCCCCCACTGCATCACCTGGTACCCACAGAGCAGGTGCTGCTGCAAGGTGAACACCTCGGTGTATTCTAACTCCATTGTGCTTTCTTTGAGGAGATAACTTCTAAGTCTTCAGAGTAGTGGAGATACTTTAATCTCTGCATAGTGTAGCTACGTATCATCTTTTCTGCTATGGGATAGGGAAACTGAATTCAGTTAGAAACTAATAATAATTGGAAGTTGTTGAAACATGGAGACATTTGTAAGCTTGATCTTTGAAATGAATAACTGATTAAATTTGAATAAGCAATGGAAAAAAAATATATACTTTTCATCCGTATACATGAAATTTGAAGTAATGTGTGCTATGCTATATTTCAACCAAGTACAAATTGGAAAGCTGAGCTGTGCTGATTTTGGATGTAAGATTTATAACAGAAATAACAGTCTGGATGAATGGGATAATAATACTGTATTTAATACCTGCATGGCAATTTAAAATCTCTGTAGATATGTTTCTGTTTACAGTGAGGTTACACTTTCAGAGGACATTAATTTTTTGTTACACTGCTCTTGATTGCCAAGCTACAGATATTCTCCTGAAATCTTTTTTTGTTCCCCAGACACAGAAAAGCGTGATAATACTTTCAGCATCTGTAAAGAATTCAACAACTCAGGTTTTGGTGGTAGAATTGATCTAAGAGGGAAAGTAAAATCCCTCATGCTGAATGCCAAGGTTAAAACCTAGTGTCTTAAAAATTTCCCATCAGTTGTTTAACCTCCTGGATAAGGTTTCCAGTCTCCTATGGGTGAGCTCATGGCTTGCCTGTAGATTGACATGGATGTTAAGACTTACATCCAGCCTTCCTTTAAAAGCATAATCCAGAATATATATATTCATAAACATGCCAAAAATAGACTAACACCTAACTAAAATTTTTGTCTGTGATGTTGGGCCAGAAACCTGCTGAAAAGTTTGAAGGGAATTAGGGAAATTGTTTGAGACATGAAATCAGAAGTGCGTATCCCACTTTCTGATCAGTCTCCTAGTTGAGGGAATTTGGGACTGTACCCTTGTAAACAGGTAGAGTTAGAAATTGAGTTGAATTTTTTTGTTTGTTTTTAATAGAGCTCAGACAAGACTAATACCTTTAACAGCTTTGGGAAACTTAACGGGTTTTTTTATTTCACTTTTGCTTGACTCTTTTACATCTGCACATACCCATTTCATTTTAATTTTCTTCTTGGCTTGATATTCTCTCTTTGTGTTTTAAATAGAGTCTTTGTCTTACCATACACAGAGAAACTAGTACATGTCCACCACTGTCATAAAAAAACTTTAACGCATTTGTAAAAAAGTTTTTCTTCTCCCACCTGTAGCAAATATGATGATCTGCTATGATGTAAAATGTGTGTGGATGAATATGTGATGGACAGGTTACTCAGGATTGGACTAACATGGAATTTTTTTTTTCCATGACATTACTCCTTTGCACTGTTTATTCATGTGGCAATCTCAATTCAGGCCAATAAAACTTGCCTAGCAACACACTATTTTAAATATATTTTATTTGGGCTATTTCTTGATATTCTTTTACCTCTTAGATCCAGAGGTCTTCTTACCATAGGTGCGGTCTTGACAACATCTAAGAGGCCTAGAAGTCTTAATGCCACTGACAGCTACTGGGACTTGCACACTTTTGAAAGGTTTTATTCTGAATCTATTATTCACATGTCAGGAGAATTGAACAAAGTCAGGCTAATAAGGTGAAAGTCATACAAAATATAGTTTCACAAATTGTCATACCCTTAATGTATGAGATCTGGGAATGCTCTGCATTCAATGCAGCAGTGTGCATCCTCCTGAGAAATTAGGTAGCTGCATTTTTCTGTTGTATGGAGCATTTGGATGTATAGACTCCAAAACTATTCACAATGTTGGACTAAACAGGGTGCAAGAGGAGCTGTGGATGCCCCATCCCTGGAATTGTCCAAGTCCAGGCTGGATGAGGCTTGGAGCAACCTGGTCTAGTGGAAGGTGTCCCTGCCCATGGCACGGTGTGGGGCTGGGTGGGCTTTAAGGTCCCTTCCAACTCAATCCTTCTATGATTCTGTGATTCCTCTTTGCATCATGGGGCAAAGATGAGGCATCCAAAGCTTCTCTGGACACCTTGTTCCAGTACCTCACCACCCTCTGCAGGAATAATTTCAATTTGTTTCAAATTAAACCCATTACTTCTTGTCCTGTCACTACAGGCCCTTGTAAAAAGTGTCTGTCCCCCTCTGTTCCCCCACCCAACTTTCTTGTTGACACCTTCAGGCACTGGAAGTTGCTATAAGGTCTCCCCAGAACCTTCTTTTCTCCAAGCCTGTCCCCATGGCAGAGGGGCTCCAGCCCTTAGCCCACCTTCGTCACTCCAACAGCTCAGTGTCCTTCAGACCTGGATGCAGCACTCCAGATGGAGTATCCCCAGAGCAGAGCAGAGGAGGAGAATCCCCTCCCTCGCCCCCCTGGCCACGCTGCTCTGGATCCAGCCCAGGATCCGGTTGGCTTTCTGGGCTGCCAGCGCACACGGCCGGCTCATGTCCAGCTTTTCATCTCCCAGTACCCCAAGTCCTTCTCCTCAGGGCTGCTCTCCATCCACTCTCCACTGAGCCTGTCCTTGTGCTGGGATTGCCCCGATCCAGGTGCAGGGCCTTGCACTTGGCCTTGTTGAACTCCATGAGGTGGTTGGCACAGTCCCACCTCTCCAGCCTGTCCAGGTCCCTCTGGATGTCATCCCTTCCCTCCAGCGTGTTGACCACACCACACAGCTTGGTGTCATCGGGAGGTCCTGTCATAATTTGCAATCTCTAATGTGGCCTCTGAGAACCACAGTGTGCAGAGAACCCAAGAAACCATGCTGTAATCATTTCTGGCACAGAAGTAGGTGTCCTGCAGAGCCTGTCTAACCTTTTGCCCAGGCTTTTTGCATGGGTTAAGGACAGCTGTTCGAATAAGACCTTCCGATTTTTTCAAATCCTCACCAGATCCTCTACGAAGTCACAGTTGTGACTGGAGACATCGAAAGTGGTGGTACCGACTCCAGTATTTTCATGACTGTCTTTGGATCCAATGGGAACACCGAGGAGATGCAGCTGGATAAAAATGGAGACAGGTACAGTAACTGTCATTTTTGTTGGTTAGAAGTGGAGTGACAACAGATTCTGCTGTCAAGTCAAAAAGCACTCGAGGCTGCTCATGTTCCCACTGAAACGCAAAGACAAACTTCCTTTGACATTATAGATTCAGAAGTGGGCCACATGTACCTGTTACTGTAATGTGTTTAGCAAAGCGGAGGAAAGGAGTGCGCTGTGTAGCCAGGGGAACCATCCCTTGTCAAGTGCAGAGATGTTGTTTAACCTGTTCCTCAGTGGCTTTAGAGGTAACTGTTATGACGAAAAATATGAATTTTGAAGTCCTGCATCAGCTCTAGGAGGAGTTGTGGACATTGCATGAAATCCCATGTCCAATTTCTGCAGAAATGCATCTTTTGTGCAAAAATAAGTAATTTAATATGAACATTATTTTATGGAAATGCATGAGTAACTGTATGATGACAGAAAAAGAAACCGACATGCACTTGCCTGCCGTGGGAAGGTTCTGTGATGCAAAAGTGTTGGCTTCTCTGACGGCTCCTCCCAATTGTTCTGCTTGGTCCAGAAGCCATGCAAGGGCTGCCAGGGCCTGAGCTGTAAGCTGAGTGCCCTGCTGAGAAGTGGGTTTTTTAGCTTGGGCTCCGCGCCACGCTAATGCAAACACATGGGTTTGGAACTGGAGCTGGCATGTCTGCAGCTGGCACAAAAGGGATACACGATGACATCTGTCTGCCCAGATGTGGTCTTACGGGGCAGAGATGGAAACAAACTGTGCTGTGCTGCCTGCTCTGATTTTAGTAAAAAGGTGAAATACCATGTTTTCTTCGGCAAAGGCAGATAACAAACCTGTAATCCCAGTCTGACGCCAGCAGTTCTGTAAGCCAAAAAACCCAAATGCCAATGATCCGTACCCTCAAGATCTCCTGTTCTTTTCTAGCACCTCCCTTGGTATGGAAAGCTTTGGCAAGAATGCAAATGGCACTAACCAGCTCTTAGAGACAGGCTTTAGCAGCCTTAAACTTAATTAATTGACTACCTCTGATCTTATTCAGCAAAGAGTCTACAGAGCGTCAGGAAGGCTGGAGCATTTGGACACACAGTTCATCTCAGACTTTTCCCCCAGCCTCCTGGCCGTGCAGTTCTTCTGCCACAGCCTTGCCCATCACGTGTGGGCTGGGTAATTGAAGATAAGGCTCCCTGCATGGAGGTGTTTGCTTGGGGGATGTTTTACTTGCAGCTGTCATAGCAGGATTGGTGTCTGGGCAAGCTTGTTCATCTAAGCTTGAAACCTTCATATGTTTAGTTAGTAATAAACACGAGACTTGTTTGCTCTGAAAACAAATGTAGCAGAGGTGCTGCTGACTAAAATCTCCAGAAAAAACATGTCAGAACATGCAGGAAGCTGTGGCCTTGCTCCCCACCACAAAGACATCCAACACGCAGGGTAATGCACGCGGGTTACCACTGTGTCTGGCTATCAGTGACATTCTCCTTCCAAGACCCCAGGCAATCCCAATCTGATCTGTCTCCCACTATTTTAAGCCTGATACTCAATTCTAGTAGGTGGGAAAATGGACTATGACTGTGTGTAGTAAAAAAGTAAAGGAAAATTCACATCAGGGTACATCAACCAAAAATCTCTAAAAGGGACCAAGATATTTCCAGCCCATCATGGGGTGGGATTGCATCTTTGCTCCAGCTGTCCATAAAGGTGATGTCCCTAAACTATGTGGCCTAAAAACCCATCTGTTTGTCTGTACAGGTGGGATGGATAACCTTTGCTACCAGGATAACACAATAACAGAGGGCCAGACAGTTTTTGTGCTATTAGTTGCTTGGGCTGTCTTCTGACAGCAGGAGATCTGCAAAAGGTGGTGAAAACTCATTGGGGTTGTATAAGAAAGACAGACATGTAAAACACAGCTATTAATATGTTAATATCCCCAGGATGCTGTGCTATTCTTTGGGGATTAAGGGCACATCCTTGCTAGCTGGAGGCACTCTGTATTATACCTCCTCTCTGTACAGAGCTCTCCTCATCTCATTAGCACCCTGCGCAGAGGACATGCATGTCCCAAGATGCACATATGGCCTGTTTCCACACCACTCCCACAAGTCTCCATCCAGCTGTTAACAACACAGGCTTCCCCGGCTCTTGTTGTACATGGAAATCTTGCCAGCCTTTGCGCCAGCAGCAAGGGATGGGTGACAGCCACTGCAACCGAATGGTAAAGGCACTTCATCTTCACTGGGGCCATCCGGTGCCAATTCACTCACAGCAGCTTAGTGCATTCCAAAGAACTGTCTGTCTAACCTGCTACAGATTTAAGGCAATTTTAGCTACATTACTTTTATTGCCAAGACCTCTGGGCAATAGAAATATTTATGAGTGCAGACATGAGTAGGAAAGCTTAATGAAATCTCTTAGATAAATGCTTCGGTGTCCTGGAAAAGGAATAGAGGGAGTCAGCTTCTCTGGGTACTTCTTCTCTTCTCAGTTGGTTTTGTTTTTTGGGGTTTTTTTTGGGCTTATGTTTGTGTTCATATAATTTACGGATAGAAAAGAGCTCTCAGGTCACCCAGTTTACCACTTCAGCAATTGCTTCCCTCTAGTACAGTAACTTCTTGGAAGTAGCAGGTGAGCATCAGCCTTAAAAACTGTAAACAGAGCATTTACTGAAGATAAATAATAGTTTATTTTGCTGACTTACTGTTTAGCTTAGAGTTGCTCATCCTGGAAAGGAGCAGAATGAGATGCTTCTATGAAGTTTTGTAGGCAATAGTGATTGTAATGAAAACTGATCATAGAATAATTCAGGCTGGAAGGGTCACACCTTTTTCTTAAATAGAAGTGGAAATTAATCTGGTCCAGGCATACAAGCACATTCTCTTTCTCACAGTGAGACAGACTGTCTTGGTATCCGGTACCACAGAAAGACAAATAAAAAGAGGGGAATTTTTCAAAAAGCAGGCATAACCCTTAATAACTAGAAATGGACGGGGACCAAGACACCCCATCCAGATGCCTCTGGGAGTGCAGGGAAAGCAACGCCTGGATGAAAACTGAGAGGCTGGAGCCAATTGCTATTGCTAACATCTGCAGCTATGCAGGCTCAGATAATGGTGTAAGGATAATCACATTCATGCTGCTGGGTGTAATCTGAGCAGAGGTTGGTAAAGAAATGGTTTTCTCTCCGTATCCTGGCACTGCACAGCTGTAGGAGGCTGAGTACATTGCCAGGAATGAGATATCATCATTAAGGATTGTCTGTGTTATGGCAGTGCCCACAGTTCGCAGAGCACTCTCCAAACCTCTTGGGTACCTCACAAGCAATTTGCACGAAGGAGGAACCTCAACAGCAAAGTGGTGCTGGTGCATATGGTAGACACTCTGGATTTGGCTGCCTTTTACTGAGCAAGGGTTGGATTTCCAGCTCCAAGCCCACAGGAGGTCTGCCAGAGTATTTTGGGGGCAAACCTAGAAGATACACTTGCTCTAAAGAGAGTATTATTGAGCCTGAGGCAGCACTTCCATGGAGCAAGGGTTTCTTTCCAGCACCACTGATGCTACAAGGGAGGTAAGGTGGCTGCAGACCTAGCCAGTGTAATATCGTCTTCAAGAAGCATATGTTAGCTGTTTTTCCTTTTTTCTGCCTTCTGCTGATTGCTATGGATGAGCAGTTCCCATACATCCTTGTGCCTGTACAAAGCAGCCAAGCAGAGGGTTAAGATTTGTCATGTTTCAAAAACCTATCCTCGTTCTTACCAAAGACGGAGCTGGTTTGCCAATCCACACTCCCCACATGCAGGAGTGGGGGGCAGGATGCTCAGTTTTGGCTCCTCTCTAACACAATTTACCTGCGCTCGCTGCACATAGGCACTGGGCTCCGACTTGCCATCAGGTTGCCACATTCAGCCGAGCGGCAGCAACTGTCGATCACGGCCGCGAATGCCAAGTTATGTGCTGCGTCTCAGCGAAAGAAGATGAGGCAAAATTGCTTTGCCTTCTAGCTGGGCTGGGCTAAGGGCAGGCACGTGGGCAGATGCCAGGAGGAAGGCGATGTGCAGAAACCTGGCTGTGAGTCTCTATTGTTCTGGTTACAAACAGGGATAATGTACGCTACGGGCTGACTGGAACAACTCCAGCTGCCTCATGTGGGCTTGACTTCCCAGGGGAGGAGGAATCCCTGTCAAATCTACATGGATTTGTCTTGACAAAAATCACAGAAGCTGGTGATTGCAGGACAGAAAAGCTCAAGTCCAAAAAATTGCACTCATAAACTTTTAATTTGAGGCTGTTGTCAAGGTGCAAGGTGCACCGTGGGCAGGGGATTGGGATGCAGCAATGCTGTAAAGCAGCAGGAAACCTCCGCAGACTTTCATATCCTCCAGGTTTGAGCGAGGCCAAGAGGACAGTTTCATTATGGAGATCGCCGATATCGCACCCCTCAGGAAGATGAGGATCCGGACTGATGGGAAGGGGACTCGCCCGCACTGGTTCCTGGAACGGGTAACGCACTTCACATCACGCATCTCTGCAACCTGCTTGTGCTGAAGCCTCTCAGCCCTTGAGAAAGAGGAGAAAGGCAACAAGTGACATGAGTTTATTCATCTCCTCTTTCCTTTTGGTTTCTCATGGTTTTTTCCGGCAGGAATTGTGTAAAAAAAAGAAGAGAGCAAGGGTAGAAGTTGTGCTGTAAAGCTTTACCACAGTCTCTGCTGTTAGAGACTCTCCTCCCCTGCAAATGAGCCTTGACTTTCCACCCAGGGCACCTGCAGTATTTTTCTGGTCCCTGGGATGTACCCTCAGCTCCTGCAGACCCCTGCCATGCTCGCACCCCACGGGAGGGTGGATCCCATCTACCAGGCAGGGACAGCTAGCATGGGCCTGCGCTGGGTGGGATATTTCCAAATAATACATCCTTCCAGGTGAAGCATCACATCTCTCCCCTTCTCTCTCTAGCACACAAGCAGATTTCTTTCTTCTCTACTCCATACAAGTAAGGTGTTGTTTTCTTCCTGCATTTTGAATACAGCATGCAAAACAGCTCCCACTGCTTCTGTTGATTGCATTTTTCCCTGGTGTCCTGTCTTACAAAAAAGCACAGTGTGTTCCTTTATCTTTTCTACCAAACCACCAGCCTCGTGTGACCATCACTTATATTTGGTCAGCAAAATGTATTTTGCTTGTTATGGGTCCCTATAATTATATTTCTAAAATAGAGGTGAGGTGATGGGCTGATTCCACACCATCAGATGACATTAAGGGAGGAACACCCCTTCGCCATGTTTATTTAGCATCGTCTTTCTGGAATAGATATCCTGATGGACTTCTGTATGTTTTTTTTAATGAGAATAGGTTAAGACCCAATAGCTTAAACCATGGTCAGAAAGAGTAGTGCAGATATTTTATGGGGTCCTTCTTCCTTGTTGACTAGTCTGAAGGTGTCCTTCATTTTCCCATAAATAATGTGCATCTAAACACTGGTCCTAGGTGGCCACCAGTTTCCAGTGAAGCGATGAACTGCTCTTCATGTCCACCTGAATGCTCCAAAAAGCTTTTCTGTGGTGCAGAACCTTTTTGTTCTTGAGCACTGTCACTTCTAAGTTTTTTTTCTCAGCAGCTCTTGTGCAGCTTTCCAAAGCATTAGGCCTTCGGCATACATCTTCCGAATATATGTCACAGACACGAAATCTTTGTCTCTGTGCCCAAGGAATAACTCAATCTGTTCTTTCATTTGATTCTGTTATCGTGCCTTTGCCAGTTCTCCGATACCTTCCCAAGTTTTATAAATCATATTCATATAAAATGAAATCAAATAAAGCTTATTCATCCAGAGGCATTCCAGATCTTCCAGTCATGAATTAGCAATATCTCAAAGGCAAGGGACAGTGACCTCTTCAGTGGCAGGTGGCACCTCCACATGTCGTGTCGCCAGGTCTGTCCAGTTGTCCACCCTCCTGGACTGTCCACCCGCAGCAAGGTTTTTTGAGAGAAGCAGGCAAAATAGACTCTCATTTGGCCACTCTGGTGGGCTTACAGCCCTCCTGTAGCTCTACAGAAACTTCAGTGAGACCGTGCACGCAACTCTTTGGGACTAATATTTTAGAAGCTTTGGAAAATTGTACACGTAGTTTCTATTTTTCTTGTAGATATAGAGCAGTGAGGATCTTCTGGCTCCAGTGATAGCAGAGAGCTTTATTTATTAGTTTTCTTTCCCACCTTCCCTGCAAAGGTAAACATAACATTTGCATTCCCAGGCAGAGAGTGAGGACAGGAGTGCTCTGGAAGAGGGGAGGAAGGATTTGTGTTCTCTGATTTGTATTCCAGCCTTGAAAACTTATGTAGCCTGGTGTGACATGAAAACTGATCTGAGCCCATTTCCATTTCTGTCAAAAGTGCATATTAAAACTGCATAATGAAATACTTGTGGGGGTAGTGCTAAACTCTCAGACAGATGGTTCACAGTTAGTGCTAACTAGCACAGTGAAATGAGAAGCTAGATTAAGCCATCAACCCCGTAATTAACCATTTGTTGCTCCATTTATCTACAGGATATTCTCAGTTTTCTTGTTCTAGTAAAATAACAATAAATGATCTTTTTAATTCTCTTTGGTCTTTTTGTAAAACGTTGCTGGTCATAATTTATACTGCTTTTAGTTTACCAGGAATAGAAGTGTGTAAATACCAATTAAAATGCATGAATTATCAATGATGTTGTACACAGCCAAAACATTCAATTTACAAGCAGTGTAGTCCTTTTTTTTCCTTTCTGCCTAGATAAAATATATTAAAATTTCATTCAGAATCTCCACAAAGTAACGGACTTGGTGCCAAAGATTCAAACTGCACCGAACGTGGCAATAAGATTTAAACACTGATACTTAATACTCTAGAGGGAACAAAATTTGATTAGTGGCGTGGTGAGCTAGAATGTATGTTATTGATTATTGCTATGCATGGAAAGACATACCACAAAACTCTCTAAAGCTGAGCAACGCTTTCTGATCTCACTACTGCTGGAAGCGACACAAAGTTTGGGCATTTTCCACTGACCTAATGCTGCATCTCATGGTCTTTGACATCAGGATACCCTGCCACTGCTCTGTGTTTCTGAAAAATCAGGGAATAGAGTGATAGAATCACAGAATGGTTTGGGCTGGAAGGGACCTTGAAAGGCCATCTAATCCACACTCCCTGCCATGGGCAGGGACACCTTCCACTGGACCAGGTTGCTCAGAGCTCCATCCGACCTCACCTTGAATGATTCCGGGGATGGGGCATCAACAGTTCCTCTGGGCAACTTGTGCCAGTGATTCACCACCCTCATCATAAAAAAAATGTGGCTTCTAATCAGGAAACGTATCTAAATGCATGTTGTGGAAGCCTCCTCCTGGGATAGCCTATTCTTCTGTTTACACAATGATTTCACCTGCTGCCCAGTGTCTTAGAAATGAAGTTGAAAAGCTAGAAATAAGAGGGGATGAGAGCTCTCTGAGTGAAGTAACAGGAATTGTAAGGCTGTTGAATTCTGCAGGGTTGCTTCCCTCAGAATTTTAATGTTACTTTGTGCTGTCAAAGCCAGGCAGATAAGAAGCTGTCTTAATGAGGCACTAATTGCATTGCATTCAAACGTCACAAATAATCCTGAATGTGGGACTTGGTCTTTATTCAGTACTTTTTCCTTTTTATAAAGGAGATTAAGAGAATTTGAGACAATCACTGAAGCTGACTGTTGTTCTTTGCAACAAAGTCCTTTTGTTTCACAATCAGAGCACCCTGTTTTTAAGCTACGACTAATGACATGCAACAGAACCATAAAAACGTGTGGTTATGTCTTTGAAGATGAAACCCAGGACCTATGTATTTTGGTGTTAGAGGGGTGTGAGGCCTTGCAGAGCGTGTTTTACACTGCAGCTGAGAGAAGGCTGGGTTGAGTTAAACCAAATGATCAGATGTGTCAAATCTTTCTGTTACAGCATACAGCTCACAATTAATTTCAGATTGCTGGTTAAAGTTCCTGTCAGCTGCAATATTTGCTCAGCTACAAAGCAAATTATTAACATTTATTCATATGTACTCTCACTTCCTTTTAATTTCTGTAGTTGTTCTACAGCCCAGTTAAAACTTGTGCATAATTAGTGATAAGGTTTGAGCTTAAAAGCATACAAAATGTCCACAGAAGGCTCTGGATATCCTAAAAAATAGCTTAGATGCAATCTAAACCAGCAGTCTCATTGCTGAGTGGTATCTAATTTTTCTGAGAGGAACAGACAGAAAGTAAAAATAGCCTCAGCTCAGCTCCCTGAGATGACTTCCTTGACCCTTATGATCCACATCAAAATCCTGCATCACCCTCTGTGTGTGCAACACCCACAAACATCTCCTTGTAGGAAGGGATTCATTTTGTGCTATTTTTGTCATTGAAAATGCTATGTTCAGCTTTCACCTCTCCTACCAAACTATTTAGGTCTCCTCTGTAGTCAGCAGAAAGAGAGATCTGAGACAGGAGGAGATGCCTTGAAGGGCAGTTTACCTGCCCCCATCATGGGTGGGATGCAGTGCTCCCCTGGTGACACCCATCTCTCACTAATGACCGTAGGGACGGCCAACACGACGTGCTTGGGATGGATGCCCGGCATTCAGGCAGCTCGTGCTAGGAAAGGTCGGCAGCGTACCCAAGTTGTGACTGAGCAGTCTTCCTGCTGCCTCCATGCCCCTTGCCGTGATGTCCCCTGAGCAAACGATGCTCGTACAATTAATCTCTCGCTCCTGTCCGCTCCTTTCTGCAGCATCCCATACCGAGGGAGCGGAGGCTGCTCGCTCTGTCTGTGCCGACTGCTCACACCCAGCTGCACATGGGTGAAATCACTCATCCCGGGTGTGGGGCTGGAGTTGGAGCGGGCATTTTGCTCCAGTTGTTTTAGTAGCCAGACGGCTTTTCCCAGGCAGCATCTGGAGCGCTGGGCACAGCCTGGCTGTTTGTAAAGAGGTCTCATCTCTCTGCGGGTGCACTCCAGCTGGCAACTCTAATCTGTTTCTACCCCCCGTCGCTTTCCTGACATTTCCCTGCAAGCTTTGCTCAGGACATTTTGCTGCTAAGTGTCACTGCCATTCCCAAGCAGGGCAGAGGTAGAATTGGCTGAACCTTTTCCAGTGAAGAGTTTATGCACCCAGGCAAAAAATAGGCATTTTCAGTCAACCTGAGATTATTCATAATATACATTTGCAAATTTTAGCCAAAGAAAAGTTTCCAGGTTGTACTTCTAAGAGGATGTAGGCATTGCTGATGCAACCCTGAGAGAGACTTCCTTCTGGTCTCTGCCCCAGTAGAGAGGGTACCAGCTGGGGTGGTGGAGACCTTATTTCTGCTTGGCTGAAAGCAAAGATTTGATTCAATATCTTGACTCACAGAGCAGTTTTTTTGATCACAAAGCAATAGTGTCACTGGCTGTGAATAAGCAGCTTTTTAGAAAAGTGGGACAGTTTCAGCAGCCTAAAATGTCCTGTACCTCTGGGATGAAGGTGCTGTTTTACAGATCCCTGTTAAGCATCAGGCAGAGAGAAAACCCCAGAAGAGTGTTCTACCCACGGAACTGTACAATGCACAAATAGCACAGCTACTGCTTCATCTTCAGTGTAGCTACTCCCTTCTTCAAAACAGTTTTTTATAACCTGGAGCAATGTTCTTCTTTTGAACTGCTAAAGGCTCCAGCAAAGCTTGGCTGGGGTCAAGAGAAGTGCATGGATTGGGACACATGCAGTTTGAGGAGAGAATTTGAGTGCGTTTTATCTCAAGATAAGTTCTATAAGTTTCTTAGGCCGATATATGAGAGTGCAGCAGAAGGTCACCAAGATAGTCAAGGGGCTGAAGCATATGGCACACTAGGAAAGGCTAAGGTAAATGGGGTTTTTAAGCCCTGAGAAGAAAAAGCTAAGGGGGAATCGAATTGCAGTCTTCTGCTGCTTAAAGGGAGGTTACAGAGACCATTGACCCAGTCTCTTCTCAGAGGTGAACAGTGAAAGGGTATGAGGCAATGGGGACAACTTACAGCAAGAAAAATCCTGATTGGATATAAGGAAAAAATATCTTCCCAATCAGAGTAATGCAGCCCTAGGATGGAGGCCCACAGTGCTGGGGTAATCTTCACCCCTGAAGATTTTCAAAACTCAGTTGGACGTGGCCTTGCAGTTAGACTTGCTTGGAGAAGGAGGTGGGACTAGACACCTCCATGTGTCCCTTTTAACTTGACATTTTCCATGACTCCATGATTTGTTTCTTCCTACTATCGTGTCACACTTCTCTGATGCGTCTGGGCTCATGTTTCCATGGCCTTTGCAGAGATGTGCCTCGCAAGACACTGTTTCTTGATGCACTGCTTCACTCAGGTGTGGTCTCCATTTCTGTTGGATGGTACAAAAAATGGTAATTTGCAGCCCTGTCTCCTTCCTTCCCTCCAACTCCCCCAGTTTAGTGAGAATTTACTGGTTTTACTGTAGTCAAGTGTAATGCCTGTCTCCAAGTAGACTGATACTCCACTGAGCCCACACTCAACAGGACACATAAAGGTGGGACTTTCATTAGGTTCCTATTCTGTTCTTGTCACCACAGCATCTGAGCTCCTTCCCATGATACATTAGACAGTGTGACTAATATCTGCTGCATACTGTTTGTTCTGTCACCTTTTCTCAGAAGGAGAAGAGTGTGAAGTGTTAAGTTTTGTTGGCCTAATTTTATCTTGTGCGTTGCTGTAACTTGTTTGGGTTTGGTTTGCATATCTCCACAATGATTGCTGTGTGTTTGCACAGGGGAGGCAGGCAAAAGAAAGGTAACTTGTACTTCAAGGAGAGGTAATGAAGTTTTCAATAAAGCTGTTACTTCTCTAGACTTAATTCCATACTGCCCTCCAGGAAAGGTCTGACTCTCTGAGAGGTGAACTTTGTCCATAACTTATGTCAGAGGAGCAAACTTCTTCTTATGTTTTACCCTGTGTGTGAAAACATCCAATATTATGAAGACCATTCCTCAGGGCAATTCACCACAGCAAATATTGTCCTTACTGACAGCTCTGGTTAGCCCAGAAGAGCTCAGTACAGATTTTGTAGCTGTGACCAAGCTCTACACATGATCTACCACATTGTGCACATTATAGCTTTGATCTTTGCCCTCGTTCACATGTTAGTTGACATTTAGCTGATTTTTTCCCCCCTTATTTTGGCTCTTCACAGATCGTCCTCAAGAACCTCACTAATCAAGAAGTAGCCACATTTACCTACGGTGAATGGCTGTCTAAGCTGAAAAATGCCAAGGGAAGTCTTGTGTGCGAGATGCCAGCCGTGATAGATGATGAGCAAATGATGGAGGACACGACATACACCCTTCAGGTTAAAACCAGTGATGTTGGAGGCAAGTCCATGGTGGATATTTGATTACTTTTCTAGTATAAAGTTTGATTTTTAGCAATGGAAAACATCTCCTGCTTAGTTTGAAATTATGTTTAAAGAAGCATAATTTAGCCCTACTATGCCGGAGCCCCTCCAGTTTGGCTGGTTGTTCATCAGGACTGTTATGCTGTGGGATTCATCCTCATTTGAGCATTCCATAAAATACATAGCCACAAAGCCTATGTTTGACTGCTCACTGCTTCCTCTGAAGACACCCTAACAGAAGTTGTTGGCAGACCATGTTGCAATGATCAGGAGCCCCTTTTTCTTTTTGGTCAGGTCTATCCTTGTAGGAATAACAAAAGTTACGGTGAAAGTTGGTGGGCCCCAGGCTTTTTGGTCAGCATTATCTACTTTGGCCGGAGAGGAGCAATAATTCATCCTCTTTTTCCAAGCGTTTTGAGACCAGTGATCTCAGGCTCTGCAAAACCATCGCTAAATGCACACCAGATAGAAGAGATGGAACTGAATATAATGAAAGCTGCAGAGCTTCAAGAGCCAACAAATGGGATTTCATTGTCATTTCCTGGGATCAGTGCCTTGCTTCATGAGAACTTCTGTCAGGCTGCTCAATGAAAGCTGCAATGACATACAAGCTGCCTTGTGCCAAAATGGGGCAAGTTAGGCATTATCTTGCAGACGCATTGTTTAAAGGTTGACCCTCAGAGGGGACGCTGCCAGACCAGTGCACATAACCACCTCCTGACCACTGCCTCTCCTTCTTTTTCCTTTTAAATTTTTTTTACCTGGATTTACCAGTGGTTAATTTTGCAGTTTGTGAGATTTGATCTGAGAATATCAAAATTTCCCTGGCAGAGTGTCTTCATGCCACCTCACCATTTTATATCTATCTGCTCTGCCTGCTGCTTGTCTGAAAAACATGTAGTGAAATATGAAAAACAAAAGAGAGAGAGAGGAAGATTTGTTTATGATTCTGGAAATCCATCTAATATAATGGTAGCTCTTTCTGTGACCTTTTTCTGAAATCCAGCCCTAACTCACAAAGGCGATGGAAATAGAAATGAGAGGAGAATAGAAGATGACAGCAACAGCAGACAGATCTGCCCTTCCCATTGAATGAAGGATGACGGGTATTAATGATGAAACATTTTATTTCATTATGAACAGTGACAACCAGTAGGAAAGAGCAGATTACAAAGAGGTTTCAGAGAGTCTGTTTATGATTAGATCACACAGCACACTGACATAATGCTGAACTTTATCCAGCTTATCTAAAGAGGGTACAAGTCATGAACCATCTCCCCTCTTTGATCATTATGTATTCCACCTTTACTCCTGGTTGGACCAATTCAGGAAAAAAGATATTTTATCCTTGATGGTGAGTTTAAACCTGTTATATCATCTCCTGCCACACTGACATTGTCTAGGGACAGCAATGCTCCACAGTGAATAGAATCAGGTGTGTTTATTCTTAGGTATAAAGTTTTTCTCTGCAATAGCTTTCAACTTTCCAGTGCACCAGAGGCATTGAAACAAACAAAAAAAGAAAATGTAGGGTACAATCTATCATCTCACCTATTTGTCACTTTAAAAAAAAATATAGTTGTGATCTTAACTCCTTCTAGACTAAACTGTCTCTGGTCAGTTTGTCTGGGAGAGGAGTCTTAATCAGTGGTCTGGATCATCCTCTGCAGGGTCTCTGTCACTCTGTCTTCATCAGATTCAGATAGCTTAGGCTTGGTGCCTAAAGTTAAGGAAAACTAATCCCATAAAAAATGTCTTGCAGCAAACTAGAAAGCAACATTAATTTCCTCCCCACCATACACACTTATTTAACAACAGTCCTGTTTTGATTTCTCCTCAAAGAAACCTCTGAGTTACAGTTTGGCTTCCCAGAAGTCATTCAACTTGGATGATCATGTAATCTCAGGGAAAGACTCCTCTCTTTCAAAGGTCAAATCCAGAGGCCACCAGAAGTACCACAAGTGGCAGCTCTAAGTGTGCACACAGATAAGGGTTGTTATGGCAGACACATCCCATGTCATAGAATCACAGAATGGTTTGGGTTGGAAGGGACCTTAAAGACCATCTAGTTCCAACCAACCATATCAGATGGGTTATCTTTGGTTAAAACCAAGATCTTGATTTACTTCTGATCTTATAAGAGAAGTAACTCACAATCTAATTTTCTGGAAGGTATGACCCACAGACACAGCTGCAGTGGAGCCAGACCATCTGATGGCTCTTTCTGTGGCATAAAATTACCCTTGCCTGTTAATTTTGATTTACACAGACTTTCTGTATTCGATATTCAGGCATCATATATATGGTAATGCAATAAAGATGGAGCAAGAATAAATACTGCTTTCTCATTTTCAAAGCATTAACAAAGCAGGAGGTTTTTATCTCTGCTGTTATAAGATTAATTAGTATGTTGTCAGCTATGCTACAGCCTACAAATTACATAATTTAGGACAGTTGGTGTCAGTTCCTAGTGCCTTATCCAAGTCTCTGTTAAGTCAAAAGAAGAACATTCTTTGGCCTCAGAAGGCTACAGTTTGTTTAAAAAAGATGCAGCTGCTCAGTAAGATTCACAAAATCATGGACACTTTTGTTGGAAGGGGCCTCTGGAGGTTATTTCATCCATCTGCCTGCTCAAAAGGCTATTTCCAACACTATGTCAAATCACCTAAGACTCTTACCAGCTGAGTCTTGGACTCCTCCAGGGGTGTGACCCACCACCTCCCCAGGCACCTGATACAGACCTGTACAATTTTAATCATAAATATATTTTTTCCTGATGCCCAGCCTGAAGCTCCTCAGCAATTTGTGGCTGTGGCTCCTTGGGGTATGGTCTGACATATTCACAGCACATATTCACAGCACAGAAAAATTCTATGAATTTTTCTGATTGGAAAAGACCTTTAAGATCATTGAGTCCAACCGTTAACTCAGCACTGCCAAGTCAACCCTAAGCCATGTCCCTGAGCATCACATCAGCTCATCTATTAAACACCTCCCAGGATGGTGTCTCCAACACCTTCTTGGGCAGACCCTTCCAATGCCTGGCAGCCCTTTCCAGGAAAACATTTTCCCTAATATCCAACCTAAACATCTCCTGGCACAACTTGAGGCCATTTCAGCTTGTCCTATCACTTGTCTCTTGGGAGAAGAGACCAACCCCACCCCTTTCTGTGCCCTTATTTCAGGGAGTTGTAGAGAGCCACATAAGGTCTCCCTGAGCCTCCTCTTCTCCAAGTTGAACACCACCAGCTCCCTCAGCCACTCCTCACAGGACTTGTGCTCCAGACCCTTCCTCAGCTCCATTCCCTTCTCCTGACACGCTCCAGCCCCTCAGTGTCTTTCCTGGAGTGAGGGGCCCAAAACTGAACACAGTATTCAAGGTGAAGCCCCACCAGTGCCCAGTAAAGGGGGACAATCCCTGCCCTGACCCTGGTGGCCACGCTGCTCCTGATGCAGGCCAGGATGTCATTGGCCTTCTAATAATTGTTATCACTGTCCCTCCACAGGGTCAAGGGTCACTTGTTCACCTCCCCTGGTTCATCTCCCTTGGCGTCTCCACACAGCTGTATGCCCCAGCTCCTGTCCATCTTGGCAACCATCTGCTGAGCCCTCCTCAGTGTCTCGATAGGACCCAGGGACCCAAGCTGGCACCATGGTCTAAATATGGGCCCTTTAGTGCTGAGCAAAGGGGATAAAAGCTTCCCTTCAGCTGCTGGCTGTAGTCCTCCTGATGTAACGAGTTACATGGTTTGCATCGAACACTGACAACTTGCTCTTAGCTCACATTCAGCCTGAACGTGAATGTCACTGTTACAACCTCTGCGTCTTCAACTCCCCAGCATATACAGTTTATTCCACCCAAGATGCAGAACTTTGCATTTCTCCTTGCTGAACCTCATGGGATTTCTGCTTGCCCAGTCCTCAAGTCCTCAAGGTCCACCTGGGTTGGAATTCTGCCAGTCAGTATGTCAGTCACACCCCTGAATTTAATGTTATCCGTAAATCTGCTGAGGATGCACCCTGTCATGGTTGAGGATGCTGATGACAAAGTTCAGTGCTGCAGACCCCAGTATCGACCCACGAACTATCACACTCATTGCCAACTTGTGCAACCCCAGTACCTTCATCTCTTCATTTGTCAAAATTGTTACAGTGCCTAAATGTGCCTGACAGTTTCCTGGAATTAACAACAACAACAACAACAACAAATCAGAGACCCAACTAAGTGAAATGTACATTGATTCAGCAATTTCTGTTCTTTTCTTTCCCATCTCCTGCTAATTGCTTGTGAGGGAAATGTCACGGCATGAGGCCCTCATAAGCTTTTTCCCGCAGGGAAGATTTTGCTAAGAAACAGTTGGTTCTGTGCTTTTTGAGACCTCGCATTAATTGGGACTCTGCTCCTTGTAAGGAAATGGACTTTAGTTTGCTTTGTTCCTCACCTCAGCAAGCTTTAGGGTTGTAAAAGGTACTGCCAAGATGAACTGCCTGAATCCCTGACGCTTTCTCTCCCTTCGTAAGGTCTTCCCAGGGAACTGCTGAAAATTAGCCCAAATTTAACATGGGCAATTTTTCACATGGACACCAAATATTGCTTTGCCTTTTCTATGTCTGACTCTTTTATCCTCTTTTTTTATTCCTACATTTAATATTTTTTTTTTTCAATCCTCAGAAGACTTGTGATTTCTTCCTGATTTCTCTATTGAAATAATTATCCTGAAGAAGGGGTAGATTTCTCAAATGGTTTTCTGTTCCCCCTGACTTTGTCTCTGCATTGTGTTGTGAATGTAGCTGTGAGAAGTACTGTCCGTGTGGTCCAAAGTGGATTTACGATCCTCTTGTGTAAGAAATGGGTTGGCAGGCAGTTAGAATTTCCAGAGCTGGGCTATCTAACTGAAGGCAGCAGATGCTGAGTTTCTTTGTAAGACAGATTTGGTCTCGAGGATCTCTTTTTTTTTTCCCAAAATCTAAGGGCTTTGGTTCTGACACAGCCATGAGTGCTTGCCCAGGTGGAATCAGATTTTTTTCTATGAATCTGTTTTTTCATCCTGGCACCGAAAACAAAAAAATGATATTTTTGGTCAAATTATATCTAATGCCAGGTAAAATTGCTCCAACACCTTCAGCTAAAATGTTGGTAAGGTCACTGCAGGTGATGGTTTTGTCTTGAACTCTCCAAAATCCATGAAAATTAACAATGTCGCTGTTCTCTGCAGCAAAATATGAGCAGTCATAGGCATACAAAATACAGTATCAGGTAATAAAGATATTTTCTTTTCCTAACATATATATAAAAAGGGTGGGATTTGACAAGGTAAACTTGTATGAGAAAGGGATTTATACCATTAACACAGCACGAACAATATTTTGAGAAACAGGAGCATAGAAGGAAGGAAGACCTGTGGGAGGGAAAACCGGGCCCCAAGATGCCATAGAAGTTTGTCTGATGGTCTGCACTTTGCTTCCAAATCCCTGCGCCACACAACACAGGGAAAGCAGCACAAGGCAGAATCCAGCCGAAGTGTCCTGTGTGCAGCAGGACAGCTGGGAGGAGGTTGTGGAACTGCAGAAGGAGATCAAAGTGTGGAAAAAGGGCGTCAGCCCAGTGGGAAGCCCAGGTCCTTGTGTCTAGAAAAGTTTAATTATGTTCTTTATTGCTCTTGCATAGATTGTCAAATGTTGCTGGGTAAGTCACTTTGCTTCCCAAGCTACCTTGGAAAAATGGGAGCTGTAACACTGACATCCTCTGCAACATGCTCCATCAGAGCAGTCTCCTACTTATTAGTATTGCAGACCTTAAATGCAAGGGCCAAACTTTCCAGCTGTACCAGGGAGTTGGGCTGGAAGACCTGTCTCGTTAGATATCATGGGGTGTGATCTTTGCAGGATCCTGCACAAATTCACTGGAGTTTGTGGGATGCACCCAGAGAAACCCGAGCATCACTGCAGCCTCTTCCAGCCTGCCTTTGCTGCCTCCATTTCCATGCGACCAGGGGTTGGATGTCAGCCCTAAGTGGAAGGATAGCTCACGACGATGTGTCTTGTTCCCTCCCTCCAGGAGCAGGCACTGACGCCAACGTGTCCTTGATCCTGTTTGGAGAGAACGGAGACAGCGGAACCCTGGCTCTGAAGGAGTCCAACAAGTCTAACAAGTTTGAGAGGAACCAGATGGACGAATTCAGCTTCTCGGACATGCTGAGCCTGGGAGATCTCTGTAAAGTGCGGATCTGGCATGACAACAAAGGTCAGGGCAGTGACCCTTGGTGGTGGGAGAGGTCAGGACAACGTTTTCACTGGAGGAAACACAACCTCCATGGACAGGGGGCAGGCTGAGGGCACCCTTCCCAGCTCTCTGCAGGCTGGGTAATCTCAAGGATTTTACCTGGATACTCTGTCCCAGTTTGGCTGTCTAGACATACCCCCTTCATGCAGGAGTCTCCTTGTGTGCTGGTGTTGTACCTGCTCTAATGGGTCCCCAGCTTCCGTCTGAGCTTACAGCCACCACTGCAGCAGGGATGATTATGGCTCCTCCAAAGAAAAGCCATCCAGCCTGTTATCCCAACACACTGGCTCTATTAAAGCAATACCTTTTCCACAGGCCAGTATGGCACTTTCCTAGCAATTTAATGCTATCAGCTTGACACATAGGGTAATGCAGCCTGGCATATCAGTGAGCTTTAGAAGATAGAAATAAAGACCTGTGTCTGTCTTTATTAAAAATACTACATCAGCTGGTGAGTGTGCAGTGCCCTGCTGAGAGACATTCTGGCATTTCCCTGCTGCTGGACACTCTAACCTGTTTCACAAGCAGCAGAGCAGGACTCAGTGCCACTGCCATAGTCATTTGTGCTGTTACTCAGGCACCAAGCAACACCTTGTAACAAATGCATCACGCACGCTGCTGTGATGACATCTCATCCCATTCTATCTTCATCTAGAAGAGATGATCTTGCATTAACAATGACTTGCTTGATAATGGTAGGCCCTTTCTGCAGCCCAAAGGTGAAGCCTGATGGCTCCAGCAGACCCACCTGGATCCATATGGACCAGGCAGTTTGGGCAGTAGTATATATCAAAGTCCTGGGAGGAATGGTAACAGGACTACCCAGTCGATATCTGGTTGCACTGAGGCAAGGGACGTGTTTACGTGTCAGTATGGATACGTCATGGCCATCATCTTCTTGACTTCTCCATGATGAGGCAGATGAGGAAGGCTGCATGTCATGCAATATTAATAAAAGATGCTACCTCTGAATCCCACGGGAGGTTGCCTCCTTATTTTTATGAAAAAAAAAAAAAGAAAAGAATAAGAAAGAAATCTTATTTTAGCCTCTGCCTATTGTGACTTATGGGAAATACAACCACCCACCTAACATAACTATATATTCCCAAACACTGCAAGCTTTGGGTTTGCGTTTATCATTCCCATAACACAGGACAATTTAGTTGATTAACCTCTGTAATAGCATGTTATGTAGCCAGTATTGAATGCAGTAAGGGAGCTGCTTTTAACTGATTTTACTTGCCAAAACACTTATTCTTTGAATTTGTGTTTTAGATGCCTAGATGGAAAGGGCTATCAAATTGGTTCAGCAAACAGGCATCTCTGCAGTTGCAAGGGTAGCTTAGATGTCCTTCTGAGAGCAGTGAGAAATCAACATGGACTTGCAGATTCATTCTCTAATATATTCCTAGCTAAAATGTCTACAAAAAGAACATTTTACTCAAGAGACATAGTGGCTCACTGGTGATTGGTCATGCTAACAGAATGAAATACAGCCACCAGATCAGGGATGAGACACATGATCGGGTTGGAGCGTAGGAAGGTGATCCTGGCAGCTGTTTCCAAAAGTAGCATCATTGGGTGCCTGAGGAAGAGTAGAAACTGAGGAAATGTGTGTAATGCTTCCCCAATTCTCTGCATCTTGCTGTGTGTAGCTCAGGGCATTTCCTAAACTGGATATAATTTTTGTTCATTAAGAAATTTTCAGTGAATTTTCTCATTCAAATGTTTGTCCAGACTGTCCGGGAGCCACTTGGCACCCACGGCTTTCCATGGCAACGAGTCCTATGGATGCGGTCTCTGCTGCGTAACAAGTGAATCTTGCTGATCTAGGCAGTTTTGATGCCTTTTCCTCCTTTCTTTTCCTTTCTTTTCCTTCTTTCCTTCTTCTTTCCTTCTAACCACGGTTCACCTTCTCTGTGCCGCTGATGATGTTGTTGATACAGGTTGGGGTGTTACCACATTGCTGCTGAGCCGTGGGGCATGCTCTTGGTTAGCGGCAAAGGGAAGTAACAGAGCCTTAGGCTAAGCAGTAAACAGACTCAGATTTGCTGTGGGCTAAAAGCATGTATCCTTATAGCCACCACAACTCAGGTAAAATAGTAAACCATGTCTCCAGAATCTGAAAAAATACTTCATATAAATACACACTGCAACCTCACACTCTCCCTATTTCTGTCATGCCACAGAAGAACAGAATCAGGGAATGGTTTGGGTT